AATCCCTGCCCCTGTTGCAGGCGTGCACAGCCACCGACAGAGGCTCCAACAGCGCTCCCTCCTCCAGGCTCACGTTATCAGGCAGCCTGACAACATCACAGCATCACAATGATAGTCACATTCACTGACACCGTAACAAGAAAATTTAAGAGGCTCCTTATCTTCATGCAAATATAGTAATTATAGTAAATACAGGACGTCTAGGCCAGATTTCATAGCCTGTTAACGTTAGACCGCAATATCTGTTATGTAAAAGTATGTTAACCTGACATGTAAATATAGTACACAATGTAATGATAGTAAACGTATGACGACTAGGCTAGATCTCATAACTTGTTAACGTTAGACCGCAACATCTGTTATGTAATAATATGTTTATCTGAAGTGTAACCGACACTGTTAACTGCTCCCTGTTCCGAATTGTTTATGTTCTTGTTGTGAGGGCTAGCCCTTTATAATAGCCTCCGGCTAGTTGGGCAGTCCTGGCTGTATACATATGTCTGATACAGCTTAATAAATCAAATCAAATCAAATCTCCATGAACTATTAGGTGTTTCAAATGCTTTATCGAAATAAGGTTAAAGTTATCTCAAAGTAGATATATTCTATATAGGAAAGTCCTATCCTTTGGCAATATTTCATTTTAACATTTTATTTTTTTACTGCTACGTTATTATGATATATGCATAGGTATGTTAACCTTTACCAGATGTCGCACATATGAAATTCATATTGTTTAACAATAACAAATCATTATTGTGAAAGTTCATCTGTGTTGGTAGACACTATAGTAACAAATTTCCAGCACAACACAACAAGTACAGAGAGATCAAATTTTCAACGACCACTATCGCCTTCATCAATAAGTGATTGGTCATTAGTTATCCCTAATGAAGGCGACGGTGGTCCTTGAAAATTAAATCTGTCTTCATTATTATAATAATAATAGTAGTTTAATAGTAGCTATGTTGGAATAAAGTTCAACAGTTTACTACAATAACAAATCATTATATAGCAGTATACCATTTTGTGCAATTATGCAACGTAGGTCCTTTTTCGCATAAATATAACAATAAACATAAATAGCTTCTATAAATAGTATAATGTTCCACCTATGATAAAATACATGTTTTACATGCATCAAATTTCTATGATCGATAAAGTTAAATTCAAGAGATAGCTTCAAAGTCAGACTACTTTGTAGGAATGTAGACAACGTAAATAAAAAACCAGCCATCCGTAAATAATTTCATCAGGTTGGTAAACGACTGAATAGCAAAGTTCTTTCTATCACAACCATTTATTTTTCAAGCCGACGTTTCGATGACCTTCTGTCATCTTCATCAGGGCAATTCTGACTGGTTTACTATGCACTGACACTAGATGTTACTTGGTGCATAGTGCACTATTATGATTCCTAACAATACATATGTAACAAGACTTTTAATAATTTCTATTTGGGACTGTGATAGCTCAGTATTGTCAGTTAACAAATCTTATATTATATATAGAAACACTTTACATTTGGACCCGCTTATTTCCCTATGATGTAACAATGCCTAGTATGTATGTCACAATTACACTACGTTCCAGAATGTATTGTAAACAGAAAAACTAGCCTACGTGCACTATGAACTATGTAACACCTTTAGTGCACTATGCACCAAGTAACATCTAGCGTCAGTGCACACTAAATCAGTCAGCCCTGATGAAGATGACAGAAGGTCATCGAAACGTCGGCTTAAAAAATAAATGGTTGTGATAGAAAGAACCAATCAAAAATTGCTATTCAAAAACCAGCCATGTTGCAATATACGGTGCTGGTGGATGTATACACATGCTACTTACTTGTAGCATAGGTCGGCAGGGTGAACCTTGTACCTGCACATTAAGCCGTGGACCGGGGGGATGGAGCAGGCCTTCAGGCGGGGACACAGGTAGTACCGACCCGCCTTACAGTTGGTACAGTACCTGCACGATATACACGGCTCTATGGCCACCCGATCACCTGGACAGGGGGAGATCTTATTTCATGTTTGTCCACGTTTGTATATGTACTTTAGGCCACACCAAGTAAATTTTATGGATGACGTCGTTTGGAGACCCTAAATCTAATGCGAGAGGGCGAAAAAAACAAGAAGGGCCCTAAAAAACAAGATGCCTACATTAGAAATATACAAATGTTAGGACACAAATTGAATGACACAGTGTAACAAGCAAGAAGTCTTTTATTCATCATCAAAACAGCAATAAATCAGGTGGAACAGTGGACAGTGAAAAATTTTCTGTTATTGACAGGATGGTCCTGTCAATAGTGTAAATTTTCTATTACTGACAGGATGGTCCTGTCAATAGTGTAAATGTTCTATTATTGACAGGATGGTCCTGTCAATAGACACTTTCTTTGCGTTACGGGTTTCACATCAATCTGGTGATTTGCGGCACTGTCGTGACTCTTTGGTCATAGTTACAGGAAGCGGAATTTCTCGTGTTTTTTTTTCTAGGAACAGGCCAAAATCAATGCGCGCGCGGACGTCATCCATAATATTTTCTTGGTGTGGCCTTATAATATAATACCAGTTACCACTGCCTTGATAACCTGTGTCTTGACCTGTTGTCATTGCCAATAAAGAAAGAACAGAAAATACAATTAAATTTTTGGCGACGCTTCAAGAGCAAGCCATGTAGTATAACTTGTAGTCCGTTAGTAGAGAATGTTTGGGCGAAACATTCCCTATACTGTAGCGACAATCAACAAATAGAAAATGTTATTGACCCTACCATTGTTACAGAGTTAGCGTCACTAAGATCTGACGATGATATTGCTATAGAATAAAAATGGCTATTTTTACACAACCAGGAGGTCTATCCAGCCTACGTTCCTGTGTTGTTGTTTTTTTTTACCTCGAGGCAATTCTGATTGGTTCACATTGCACAGCAATACATAATCAATCAATCATAATCAATCAATCTTTATTGCGCAACAATTGCAATGGATACAATGTATGGCAAGTGTTTAAATCAAAAGATAACAACAATACTAAAATCTACTTCTATATACCTTATTCTAACGCTACCCTATAATTGTGAGTGATGAATTATACAATATATATGGAACATGGATACAATGTTAACATCAGTTCAAGGTGTCACAGATGATGTTGTTATTTTCTGAAGAGCAGAGGATATGAATTGGCCAATATACAAGGATATTGGTTCAGGGCATGACATCAGTAAATTAAAAGTATCTGAGCTTGTCTTAGGTAAGGTAATGTTTGAGTTACGTGAAATCATATTCATAAGTGTCAACCTTTCTTCAGTATACATGGGACAAGATAATAAAAAGTGACATTCATCTTCGACAGTATGTTTACATGTAGGACAGCGTCTCTGAGTGGCTGGTACATTCTTATAACGACCTTTTTCTATTTCTAAACAATGTGCACTGATTCGCAGTTTGGTTATGTTAGCAACAAATGATTTGTTTTAGATTGATGAAAGGTACTTCTCAAAAGTGAAGTCCGTTTTGAATTTAGAATAGGTTTGCAGTTTATTGTAATTTCTTATTTCTTGCCTCCAGCCAGAAACAAACGTGTCTTTCAGACGTTGTTTGAACACGTTTCCAAAATGCTTGGCGTCAACTGTTGGGTTTAGCCAAACATTTTGAAAACCGTGTCTTTATAGATACTGGTCCGTGTGACTTTTTTTAATTACTTGACAACAATTGTGTATACATCGCACACATGTGAATTTGGAACTGCATTGTAGATACTGCGCATGCTTCCAGTAACCGTTCACTGCCCTTACCCTCCAAAAATTTAGACCTCGGCTTATTTTTGGCGTGTTTTTTTTTAAATATTTACCCAAGCCTAATGGTTGCAAATGGATTCTGCAGGGCCAAATTGATACTGTCTTTGCAGCCAGCGAACGATCAGCTTTGAGATTACACCACCGTAGTTAAAAGGCGGGCCTTACCGACTGCTAGATGGGTGACCCCCTCTCCGACCTGCCGCACTGTTCCGCTGGCCTCGTGGCCGGAGACCGTGGGACCGGTCAGCACGGACTGACCGAGGGACCCTTCCGTCAGGACGTGGACATCCGTGCCGCAGATGCCCACAGAGTGCATCGCAAGTTGAACCTCTGTGAGGCAAGGATAAATTTCAGGATAAAGTTTGCAAAACATACAGGACATCCTTGAATAGCAAAGTTTTTTATTCGCAACCACTTGTTTAACAAGATTAGAATTTTTGTTGATAGGCCACACTGACTTGATTTTGTGGATAACACACTCGTTCTCATTCAAATGTACGAAATGCTGTCGCCACTCTTTACTAGGTATGAGCCAAATCACGGACATAATCGTTGTTTTCTTCACTTTCCCACCACGCTGACTATGTTTCACGAAAAATGTACTGCAACACTAGGTTTGCTTGATGACTTGAGAGAAATTATGGTCGCGTGTTGGATTTCTTCCCCTAAAAAGCGGCTGTCGCCTGAGAAGAAATGAAAACTTTAAAAAGCAGCCTAAAACGTAGCAATTTAATTACGGCAGTAGTTTTCTGCCTGTTGAAGTCGGGTGGCCAGGACCTCTGACTGATCAAGTCAGATCGCTCCTGATACTATTCTTGTACGTCATGCGAGGTGGTTCATACCTGTCGCCAAGTTCTGTAACATCCGTTATCGCTCAAGACGGTCGTGCAGTTTAGATAGAGTCACATATAAGACAAGAAATTGCCATTTTGATGACTTTTAGCAAGTTTTCTAGGTTTCGAAGAAAAGACGAAAAGAGTGTGTGCTGTCATTTGTAGCCACCTTCGCTGAACAAATTGTTTTACAGTAATGAATGTAACATCCGGTACCGTTGTTTTTACCCTCAATTTTAGTCTCTTCACCTGGTATATAAAACGTCACCCAGTTTTTAAATGTCCGTACTTATGCCCCCTTGTTCTCAAAGGATGAAGATAAAAACTGCAGATCTTCTTGGAGAAATAAACAAAAACGTCCGTTTTGTAACATCCGTTACCGGTAACGGAAGTTACACCTGTAGCGCAAAAGACGTAACAAGAGATTGACGTTCCCTTCCCTTTGCACCATAAACATAATTGTTGGAAATAAAGTAGAAAAAATATGGATCCGACGAAAAATAACCCTCTGTGGCGTCAACAAACTCAAATGTTCTACTCTTCTTTGCTTCCAAAGATATTTTTGCTACTTCTATACACTACACTTATAGCTATCTTTATGTGTTCGATACGTGTATATTTACCAGTAAATAATGGGTTGACAGAAGTATTTTTATAGATAATGACGCCTAAACTAATGGCTTTTGAGGTGATGTCATGAATACAAGCTTTATCGTACACACAATTCATGCTGATGTTCCAGTGTTTTTGCTGCACTAAAAATGCATGGTTTACATATGTCTTATCAAAGTGCACAAATTTTCGGTAACTTCCCATGGCAATTAAGCTGTCCTTTTTTAGTAATCATTATGGGTTCACCACACCACGAAGTGGTGGTGAACCCATATTGCTTTTTCTGATGTTTCTTCTTCTTCTCCTTCTCCTGCCATTTTTTAAATGGATTCAGCTTCTTCATTTTAGGGCCTAAGGTCCTGAAATTTGGTATGGAGGTACAGTGGGCAAATACCCCTAGGCGTTTTTAAATTTTTGTGATACAGGCTTTTAGAATGGTTTTATTTGAGTTTTTGGCTGTGTTATAGCAAATGTATTACTGTGTTAGTGTGCCGTGTTTACCACGTCTGGGCATGAGTCATCACAATGGAATGCAGGGCATCAACCAATAGGCATGCAGCTTTCCTCTATACTTCTTGCTGATTGGCTGTTGGGATTTAACTTGATTAACACCTGCACAGAGCATTTCCACCTGCACAGAGCATTTCTTGCTGATTGGCTGTTGGGATTTAACTTGATTAACACCTGCACAGAGCATTTCCATACTGACAGTATGTCTTTATTCAAGTGTTTTGGTAGGTATTTCAAGCTTTTCTGCTCCAGCATTGGAATGCGGGGCATGAACGTTTTTTTTTATTTTGAAAATCAACAGTTTGCATTATGCAATTAAAAATCCTAACCAATAAAGTAGGGAATAGCTATCCAACTGTTGTTTTAGTTGTATGTTACTTCATATTATAGTTATATCAATGTAAATCATTGTTTTCCCTTGTGTTTCTCATTCTTTCCCTGCCATGTCGTAAAATGTGGTGAACCCATCGCTGTATTTGCTCCAAAGCAAATATTGGCCTTTCTAGTTAGATATTAAAGTGCCTACTAATTGCCTAATTGCAAACATCATGTATATTATCCAATCAATACTATAACATTTACTATTCTCACGCAATTCTAGGAAGCTAAAATAGATTTTGATATCTGATATTACAACAAAGTGTATGGGCTACTAAGCGAAACTAAGACTTATTCTTGTACCTAAATTATAGCCATAACTTATTAGATATTAAAGTGTACAAGTATAGGGCTTTTTCTTGGGAAAAACCTTTGCCTACTTGCAAACATCATGAATACTTACAGAATATTAAGCCTAAATGTTAATG